CAGGATTTTTTCAAAGGGGGGGGGGGGGTTGTAGCATTGATTGAGGTGGTGGAGAGATATAGCAGACCAAAGGGTTAGGGAGACGATTATTTGCTGCAGGCGAGCATGGTTGTTTTAGGTCCCACACACGACGTATAGAAAAAAAAGCGAGCGAAATGTGTTCGGCACCCCTGTTTTAAAAACTCGCGATACTGTTGGTGTTGTCATGAAAATAATAATAATGATGGCTCTCATGGGGGGGGTTGCAACCCCCAAAACCCTCCCCTAGATCCGCCACTGAATGATGTCAATTCTACACTAATGTGCTTTGATTTGCATTCCCTATCAAAAAGAAGGTACACGAGCACTGGTACTGGCGCTTTGCGTTGCTATAGCAATACCTTTTCATTCTTCTAAAATCGATTCATTTAAATTTCGATCGAATTGAAGATCATTTTAATGAATTACCAATTATACATGATGTAGTAATCAGGATTATCTGAATCTTCCAGTCCCAACAGATCATAAACTACAAGTCAAGGCGTTCAATACCAGCACGCGAAGCATCATGGTAACGTGGGTCCCAAGCGCCAAACGAGAAAACGTCGAAGGCTATCACATTCTGTACACAGACGAGATGGGAAACTCTTACAGTACTGTCGTTAATGATGCTGAAACTGACCTTAGAGAACTGAACAATCTACTGGTGTATCACAAGTATTGTATTCGTGTTATAGCTTACAGTAGACGTGGAGATGGACTGGCAACGTCTCCCGTGTGTGTCAATACTGATTACGCAGGTACTTAAGGAATATAAAACTCGCGCGCATGCCTCTGTACTGTGATATAAACACACTGGAAGCTGTAGAGCACGAGAGAACGAGCAAGCTTAAGAACACGAGACTTGTTTTTTTCCCGAGCGTACTGTAGTGCTCAAAACCATGGTATATAACTAGTATACGCCTAATTCATACGTTGTCAGTCGGAGATCTGAAATGGGCGATCTCAAGACTAAACGCGAACGGGATCTTTGTACTCTCATGTTTTCAAAAAGCTAAATACGAAAAATCACATTTCTATCTCGAAGGTACATTAATGGTATACATATTCCAATCTAAAAGGAAACTACGTTGTTGGGCTGTGGATATATTATTACAATTTGCAGCGTGCTACTCAGTCTTAGATTTCAGATTTCAGATCACCATAGGTATCATATAGTATATACATGTATTAATACTCAAAAATTTCTCTCACTCCTCGCAGTTCCCAGTGGTTCGCCTAATTTAACAGTTGGAATCACAAACACGACAATGCTGTCCGTAACGTGGAACACGCCAGGGAAAAGCATCTTACGTGGAAAACTACTTGGATATCAAATGATGTACGGGAGAGTTAATTCTACTTATAATGGTACAATCAATGATAACGTGATGTTGGATCTCGCACCAACAGCCAATCAAGTTTTTCTTACTGGATTGGAAAAATTTAGCCTGTACGCAGTCAAGTTAGCTGTGTACAACCAAAAGGGACTTGGGAAATGGAGTGAGATCATTGTACGAACTGGAGAAGATGGTAAGTTGAAGATTTAACCTGTTCTTTGCTTATATGCTTATGCTTATGCTGTGCTGTGCTGTGCTGTGCTGTGCTGTGCTGTGCTGTGCTGTGCTGTGCTGTGCTCTTGATCCGTTTAACACGTGCCTTCGCTCTGGAGACTGAGACATCGTTCTCTATTCCTCGACTTAAAATAAGGTTAACCTTAGCTTAACCGATCGTCATAATCAAGTTTCGTTTGTTTTTATTTAGTTCCCGGCATGCCTCCACGTATCATAAGCGTGTATAACACCAGTTCTACGACACTAAACGTCAAGTGGCATCCAATACCCGAAGAGTATCATTTTGGTCAGTTGCTAGGTTACCGTATATTTTATAAGGATACGACCACCACCAATACATCTGATTACGAGAGTTTGGACGTCGGACCGGACGCACAGGAAGCCGATATTACAGGGTTAAATATGTACAGGAATTATGTTGTACAAGTGGCTGGGTTCAATGGACCAGGAGAAGGAAAACCATCAAAAGGAACAATAGTATCAACTGATGAAGATGGTAAGATCATGTCTCCATGGTGCATTCTGGTCTAGCTTGAGTACCAACATTTTTTGGGGGGGATTGTTGTCGGAAGCTAGAATAGACTGTCCTGTTTGTTTTCTCGTTTTCAGAGCTTGCGTTTTTGGGTCTACTACAATAGAGTAGTTTCATAATATTCATGTTGAAGGGCTAACCAATATATTTTTTTCTTTCCGAAAATAAATTATCTGTAAGGATGTAAAAAGCATTCCACTTCCGGTGTTTCCCCTTCTAGGAATCCGAACAAAAGAATTCCCTTCTCTTGAGGATCGAAATCTCTTTTGAAGTTCGAAATGAGTTAATATTTTCGAACTCTTTTCATTTAGTTTAGTGTTCATTTTGACACAACTGCTCGTTTTACTGTGGTTAGGGTCACGTGACCTGTTACTACAAAGGGCATATTTAACCAACACATCGAACATTTTAGTTCCCAGTCTTCCTCCACAAGACCTGACTGTGGCAAACATCTCCTCTACCATACTATTAGTTCAATGGAACCCAGTCCCCAGAGAAGATCGTAACGGCATCATCCTAGGTTACAAGATTTTGTATAAGATATCAGGAAACGATAATGCTTCATTCATAGCCAAGCAATGCAGTTGTCGAACAAGGGCAGCAGAGATAAAGAACCTCTTGAAATTTACTGCATATGATGTGCGTGTTCTAGCATTTACATCTAAAGGAGACGGGTCTTTATCAGACGTAGTGACGGCAAGAACAGCAGAGGATAGTAAGTAAAGTATTTGTGTAAAATGAAATGCGGCGCGCGTCTCTGTGATATACTCTGATATAGACACGGTTTATCAGGCGTTTCGACCAATCAGAGCGCGCACATACAGTATATGTAATAAATATTTTTAAAGTTATAACATGCGGGGATCTTAAAAGAGCTTAAGAAAAGCATACAAGACCATGAAGTGCACTCGTGTGCTTCTGTTGCTTTTTGAGCCCTTTACAGCTCCCAGAATGTTACGACTTTATCAAATTACGGAGACGCAAGCGGTCTTTTATCTTATTTGTATGAAATATGTTTTTGAGAATTTTGCGGGTCTTTGTCCTCCGAAAACGTGGTAGCTGGGGGATGACTTACGAGGTCCTCTCCTGAATACCATCCTGAGTACCCCCGTGCCATGTGCCACTTCTGTTCGAATCTCACCTGAATACTTTGTACTCAATGCCCAAGATCCGCAACCGGGTTCCCTGTGGTACCTAAAAAATACTTTTACTTTGAGCAATTAAATTATGTTTTCTCGTTTTCACAACCAGAGCCGAGTCATCCTCCAACATTAATGTCTTTCCACAACACTAGCTCGAGCAGCCTGCGAGTCACTTGGCTTCACATTCCACCACATTATGCGCACGGGGTTCTACTGGGATACCGGGTGCTATATCGCTCTTTAAACGTCACTGAGGACATGTACTCTGTGGCTCAAGTTGGACCAACAACTTTGGAGGTGGAATTAGAGAATCTGTATAAATATATGGATTATGGAGTACGAGTGATGGGCTTCACTAAAATGGGACTGGGAACGGTTAGTGACGAGCTGATCGTACGGACAGATGAAGATGGTAAGTTGAATCATCATGGTCATCTGTCCTCATTATTGACATCATCGTCATCGACATCTGTGACCATCATCATTCTCATCATCATTGTCATTTGTCATTATCACATTGTCATCGTCATCACAGACATCCGCAACGATCATTATTAGTCGTTATTGTCATCATTATGATCATCGTCATCGTCGACATTCTAAAGTCCTCACAACACATCAATCTTTATTTGTTTTGTACATCTCCTTTTCAGTTCCCAGTTGGCCTCCAGAGCAAGTTACAGCATCCAATAAAACAAGCCCTACTAAAATATCAGTACGCTGGCAGCCAATCAGCGATCAGTATTATATCCATGGTATATTACTAGGTTATAAGGTGTTATACCGTGCAGTTAGCAACCCTGATGAAGTCCTGCACGGTGACCAGAAAGTCGCGGTTCTCGACCCTGGTGTTCTTGATGTCACTCTAGAAAATTTGACGTCTTATACTGTGTATTCAATCAATGTGGTGGCTTTTACGAGTAAAGGGAATGGAGTGTCTAGTCCTACTATCTATGCAGGTAGGTCATCTAAAGCTACATTGAGGTTAGTGGTTCATAGTACTGGAAGATAGGAAACAGGGAACGATAATAGACTCAGCGACAGTCGGTCGAGGATGCGCAGTAACAACGGGATCACGTGTTCTACATTCTACTAAAATACATTTAGTTTTGTTTCCATAGAAACCTGTAACTGTCACAAATCAATGTACACCAATTGGTGGATCAATCCTCCATATATGAGCAATAATGTTTCTGGAATCTTCCCTTCAATCCTGAAAATGCTTACTCAGACGTGTTGTGGAGACTGCGCAGAACACGCTAAAACTGAAATAAACTTTCAAAACTCAAGTGCGGTGAGTTTCGCTGCCAAGCCTGGGGAAAACCAAGTTAAAGAAGCCATTCGTTCTACCACGGAGTTTAGCTTTCCTGTCCATGGTCGCAAGCAACAGTTGTTTTACAACGATTTTGCGTTCATCCCATTGGTAGAGTCTGGGGGAACTGTGTTCATGACAATGGCACCGGAACCTGGGTCGACTGCTAGGATGGTTGTATGGTCGGTGATTGACATGTGGCCGATGTGTATTGTTGTATTCATCTCCGCCTTTTTTGCGGGCATTTTAATGTGGATATTGGTGAGTTCAAAATCTGCTAATAAGAAGAATATAAGATTGTAAGTGTGTTAGGATTAACCAAGAAATCATGACCTTCATGGTCTCTTGGATTAACCTGAAACCTGCTAGGGATAGTAATGATATCCGGCTGTGAATATCAAAGTGCAAAATATCCCCAGGGAACATTTTCAACCATAAAAGGAGCGCCAGTCACCCCTACCACCTGAACAAAGGGAGTACCCCCCCCCCCCCCCCCGGAAAATCCCCCCCCCAACAGACCTTTTTTAGGCTTGGATGCAATATATTTTCCATTTTATACTGAACCACTTGCATGACTTGAGTAAAAGATATTTTCTTTAGTCTTATCCATATTCTATCCATGTATTTTACTAAGAGGACTAATGACGGTTGATTCGCCATCATTCCCCTTTTCCAGCATTAGCCCAGCCAGCCAATAAAGGCAAGAAGGGCCTTACCCCTACCCGTATTCATGTATCTTCTCAAGCATTACTGATAAGAAAGAAATATGAGATCTTCATGGGGATGGCACGTGATCTGATTTGGAAGTGGGTCTATTCTCTAGTGGGTAGTAAACGATCTCCGCCATCTTGAATTTCAGATTCTGCATCCTATTGACTATCCTGGATTCTGCAATCTTTAAAAATGTCGGATTGCGGAATCTTTTCTCCTAAAACGTTAGCCATGCCCTGGCTTTGACCTACGTTAATCAGAGGCTGTTTAAAGTTGAAGTGAGAGTTCAAACCCTTCATTTGTTTGCTTCAGGATTGTTATTTCAATACGAGAGAGTTCCCGAAGTCTCCATTCAGAGGACCAATGGAAGGAATGTGGTGGGCGTTCATTACCATGACGACACTGGGGTAAGATAAAAAGAGATTTTCATCAACCATGTTTAAGTTTTATTACAAAGACGAAGTAAAGTCTGGTGAGTGACTATACAACAGCACGGCACACTACTCAACCAATGAAAATTGTCAGAAATGCGTGATATCGTCACATTTATGTCTTCATATGTTAACGTGTATAAATGTATATATTTACAATAACTTACAAATTTCTCGCGCGCTGATTGGTTATTTTTTATCATCGATAAGAGGATAGACAAATAAGCTGTCGTCAACGAGCGCACGCTCTTTCAAAATTGTTTTGATCACTAAAAACGAGAAGTTTCCATTATAACGTTTTCGTTGCTTCTCGTGGATCCACACTACTTTGACAATGCAGGTAGGTAGCGTTATTATAACACAGCAGTACAATAACGTCATCGCTTATACTAATATTGATCTAAAGGTACGGAGATCGTGTTCCTAAGAGCTTCCATTCCAAGTCGTTCGGTGTCGTGTGGATCGCTTGTGGTTTAGTTATTGTGTCTTTGTTCATGTCTCTCATCACTGCGACACTCACAACTGAAGTTATTGGGAAAGAGAAGATGATTTATGGATCACAAGTAAGTACAAAAGATAGATAAATGACCTACAATATGAAGACTTTTTCACAAGAGGTACACCCACTAAGGCTCCTTTTACTTGAAGGGCGGGGCTAGCCTAATGTGTTTTGTGTCACAAATTGGAAGCAAAAGACTTGTCCCTAAAGCACTGGGGCCATCAACCATCCATGGACCCTAACAAACTAACTATATATACCAGAGACCGATTAAAGTACATTCTGTCGATCATGACTGAAAAGCGAAGGAGAAAATAGTGATAATCCTGGTTTTTAGTGCCTGGCTCTGATTACTATTCAATTACGCATCTCAGGTTTACAGGGTTTTATTTACTCTTGCTTTTAAACTGTTTCACCATGTCACCCATGTCACGACTAACGAACTCTTTGCTGTTGCTGTTTGCGTGGGCATAATGCACGAGTAAAAATTGAGGGCCCGGTTGTACGAAGGGTGGATAGCGCTATCCAACGGATAAATCCTTATCAAGTCGATGCTGTTATCCAATAAATTTATCCACTGGATAAGATTTATTCGTCGGATAGCGCTATCCAGCCTTCGAACAACTGGGCCTAGAATGCTATAGAATGGCTTCTTATGGCTGTTGTTTCTTATTGTTCTCAGGTGGCTGCTATTCGCAACTCTTCTCAATATCGTCATGGGATAAGAATGAATGCCAAAATGGACAATGGTAAATGTTTAGCAATATACATAAAAACAGGAGTGAGGGATATGTTAACGCTTGAAATTTAAAAAAGTCAAAAGTTCGCCAGGAAGGAGGATACTACAGCGCATGTAATTGTGGGGATGTTGGGGAAGGTTAGATGGGTTGAATTTGAAGATATATAGGTGTTAGGATACTACAGCGCATGTAATTGTGGGGATGTCGGAGAAAGTTAGATAGGTCAAATTCGAGCAACTGTTTCTTCAAAGGGAATGAAGGTAATTTGAGAAGTAGATCCTACATAAGAGACACAGAGCACGAAAAAGGTTGGGTGGTGGAGTGGATAGAAGGGAATTAAAGATAGGATGAAAGCACCAACCGAATGAGCCAGGTGCAACTGGTGCACGCAGCGAAATTTTTTAGAAAGGTTAAACTAAACTATGATTAAAAAGACCTTACGCGATTTTGGCCATGCAGCGATACACTAACATTTTATTGGTTTACGACATCACGTTGCCAGCGCTCTCGCAGGTCGTGTTAACATCTCTTACCTATCAATCATGCTTTCAGGTAAGGAGTACAACAACCTGATAGACGTGTTTATTGCTTTAAAGCGACGTTCAGTCGATGGAGCCCTAATCGATGCATACTCGGTGGGGAGTAGACAGGATTTGTTTAATGACCCGGCAATGGTTGTCAGTAAGATCATTAAACATCAGTCGGCATCATACGGCGTCGTGCTGGCCGGGGATGCGCAAAGATTACAGAGATGCTTTAGGGACTTTTTAAGAGAAGAAAGAGCGAAAGTGTTTGATGCAATCACTAGTAACGTTATCCCAGTACAGGCAAGTATTTTGTAGTTAACGTAACATTTTCAATGCTCCTCCTCCGTGTAGTCCCTGTTCTCTGCTGATACACCCGCTCCGTGTAGAACATTCCCGGTGCAGCTCAATTTGGATCATAAGAGTAAAACTGTGTAACAGACCCTTAATTAATGTTTTCCGATTTCAGACCACTAGTCATTCCCTTGATAATAAGATTCTTTGGTTAACTTTTGCGCATTAGAAGACACGTAATTATTGATACAACTCAGACAAAGAATCTCAATTTATTCACTTGGTAATGGCAAGTGGTCTGAAAAGGGTAAACATTACGTCCAAGATAAAGAGGTCTATTCAGTCACGCCGTTCTTGAACGTGTTTCATGGCGGGAAAACGTGGCGATAAAATGAGTACAGTGCCGCGCACGCGCAAGCGTTTTTCTCCCGTCTAAGTCGAGAGTTGAAGAGCACAAGAGGATAAGCTATCACCTCTAAGAAAAAATAATGAATTTACAAATACTTAAGTACGTTACCTTTTCACTCGTTATCTTTATTTTTTGGCTTCTGAGCAGGCCAAAAAGCAACGAAATATCCTCCCATCACACTGTTTGACATATATTCGGAAGCCACTTGAAAGTCGAGTTACTCTACATTCGAACAAATATACTTCATAAATGTTTTTTAAAATCTTATTCTAAAGGGTACGAAGAAACAAAAAGACAAAACAGCGGGCTTGTTCGATGCAGAATCTGAAGTATTTCAGCAAGCATTACGATGGACTCTTATACTATTAGGTATCTTCTTTGTTGTGTTTCTCATCTACGAGCTGATAACACGAAGACGTCGCGACCCAAACCCTAAGAAATACGGTAAACTTACTGATACAACATTTTCATAGTTCACGTAGTTTTGCTTTTCTTTAATCACATTTTTCCTCCGTGTCTTCTCAAAGATGATTTACACGTGATTACACATTTATTTATCAGGATAAGTATTAGCCGCCATTGTCTTTTCTCGCATCTGTTAGCAGTAGCTTAGTTTATGATCGGGTCCATGAGGGAGTGATTGGAGGGCGGCCGTCCATTAAAGAGGGATTGCAGCGTACGAGTCCATGGGAAAGGGATTGGAGCGCACGCGTTTTGGCGCTAAAATACCCGCTAATTCGAGAGTAACTCCATTCGTATTTAAGTCAGCCCAATAAGATCTCCAAAAGCCTTTTTATTTTTCATCATATCAATAATAACAAACGACTTGCAATATCTTTATAGATTTTAGCGAGGGTAACGAATGGATACCCACTATAGTGAAAACTAACCGACCACAAGAAAGCTATCAGAAAACACGAGAAGCGATGCTTCAAGTGCTGCAAGAATTTCACGTAAACTGTAGAATGAAAACTGCTCAGCTCAGAAAAAAACACAGGCGAGAACTTCTACAGTTGTATAAAATGAAAGAACAGGAATTACGGACAGATCACAAAGAGGAGATAGATACAAAGGAAAGACTCCTAGAAAGAGTAAGAAACACGCTCTTGGGGTTTGTTAACAACACTTTCCAGCCAGCTACTGGTACACCCGTGTAAGTTCAACCACTCAGGCCTATTTCTAAGATATTTACGCGTGGCAAGAGGGACAGCGAGAAAAGAAGAGTGCAAGGAAGAAGACCTGTAAACTAAGCTGGAAAATGTGATATTGAGGACAAATATTGCGAGCGTAAAGAAAAATTATTCGGATCTTAGTAAGAAAACGGGCCAACGAATTGAACAAGTTGACGTTTATCCAGTCATGACGAGATTTCAGTAAACCAATCATAGTGCACGGTAGATTGCTGCAAGTCCAATCATATCACGGTCACCGATACAAAATGACGACATTATACATTGAACCAATCACAGCGTGCGAAATGACAACATTTCATTAAACCAATCACAGCGCGCTTAATGACGACATTACATTAAACCAATCATAGGCGCGATGGATTGCTGCTCATCCAGTCATAGATCACGATCCAATCACAGCGCGCGTTTGATTGCATGCTATTAAACCAATCATGGATCTAGGTCACTTGTACGAAGTAACATAACAGTGAACCAATCACAGCACGCGATCAATTTCTGCTCATTCAATCATCGATCACGAGCACTTGTACGAAATTATGATATCACATTGAACCAACCACAACGCGCGATGGATTGCAGTTTATCCAATCATAAATCACGTACACCGGTACGACATTATGACATCACATTGAACCAATCAGAGCGCGCGGTGGATTTATCTAATAATTGATTAGGCCTCTTGTACGAAATGACGACATTTCAGGGAACCAGTCACAGCCAGTACGCGATCGATTGTTGTTTACCCAATTATAAATAGAAATGACGGCATGCCATTAAACCAAAAATGTTCTTAAATCATTTTTAGACAAACACTAAGAGACTGCAGTATCATTCCTACTTAACGATCACAATGACTATGTTGTCAAAAATGGTTAGCATGACAGCAGTTGATGCTCTTATTTTAGTCTTTTTACTTCAACTATTATATATTTTCCCATACTACCCATATAACCAGAACGTTTTTTCCCTTCTAATTATGAACGAGCGAAAAATGTTAAATTTATTCCCGTTTAACGCGGGTTCTGTTTGCAATCCGTGCATGCATATATTATGAATGAAAATATGGATAGCGCTGGCGCTTTGTAAATTTTATATTTATTTTATTAAGTTTATGTTTTGAGCTTTATGTCAATGTTTGCAGAAATATATAAAAAATAATCTGTTATTAATTTAAGTAATAGAAATAAAGCAAAGTTCGTTAATCTTTATAATAGTTGAAAAAATCAGTCAAGTAGACATGGTTTGATCTGACATATAGTACAAATAGCATTAAAAAATGATGTAGTTATGTAAGTTGTGTTTGAGTGTATACAATAAGCTGCGCATGTCAGTGTTCTTATAAATCTAATACAAAACACACTGCGCGCTACGATCAGCATTTAACCTGCGCATGCTATATCTTAGACTATTCATCCATCGATCAGTATTCTTATATCTCTAATACATTAACACTGCGCGCGTTAAAATCAGCATTTACCCTTCGAATGCTATATCTCAGAATATTAATCCAGCTCACAGTGTTCTTATTTTTCTAATAGATAAACACACTGCGCGCGCTATAATCAACACATTTAACCTGAGCATGCTATATCTTAGACTATGCATCCATGGAACAGTTTTCTTTCATTTACATAAACACACACTGCGCGCGCTACGACCAGCTTTTAACTTGAGCATGCCATATCTTGGACTATACATCCATCGTACAGGGTTCTTATATCTCTAATACATAAACACTGCGAGCGCTAGGATCAGCATTTAACCTGCGCATGCTATATCTTACACATCGTTTTTATCACTAACAATATCTAACTTTACATATTTTTACGCTTTCAACCTACTTTTTACATTTTGACCAGTGCGCGCGTCTCTATTACAAATTATGAATAAATTATTTCTTGAGACAAAATATTACATGCGATAGGTAATAAGCGATAGGCGATAAGTGATAGGAAATAGGTCATTTCAAGATGCAAAAATGGCTGGAATGACTTGTGTTCCTTATCATCATTCTTGTCAATAACACAGACAGTTCCGAGTAAGAAATCCAGAAATCGAAAGAGAATGTCTTATTTAGTAACTACTGAAAATTTGAGAGTAATATGTTCAATATTTTTGGGGTAAAAGTTTTTTGAAAGCGGTATGATTTACAAAGAAATGTATGGTCTTGTGCAAAACGTTTTCTCTTTCATTTTCATTTTTTCATCCCATACCGACACTTAATCAGCAGCCGTGTTATCTGATATAGGCGCCGTAATGTCGTCGGCTGCCTTTTTGTTGCTCTGGTTAAATATTTTCTTTGGCGTATGAGACTTCATGCTCAAAGACCTCGGAAGTACAATGGTAAGAATAGAAATCCTGGCCTCTAAAATATATGCCAAACTTAAGCTATGAGAATTCCGTTGTGCCGTACACTTTAATCGAGGTATCATCTTATTTTGCTATCCCAATATTTCACATTACAATAGCAGTCAAGAAGTTGGCAGTCCGCAAGTTCCAATGCGTATACTAGTATAAACGACAACAGCGCGCTTGTAAAGAAGATGCCCAATAGGGTATTCGTAGGAGGATTACCCTTTGATGTAAGTAGATTTAATGCTGGATTACAGTGCACTGCAATACAGACATAAGAATGCAAACAGAGGTGGTAGCAGTACTGCATTCGCCTCACCGCGGGGTCTTGGGTTCGGGTCCTGGACTTGGCACCAAATGTGAGTGTTTAGTTCTCACCCCGCTTAATTTGAGGGTTTTTCTTGACCATACGCAGAACCTAAGTTTGGTAGTAACAAGCTAAATTCCAATTCGATCTGTGAGTTAAACGTGCTGGCTTTGATCACTTCAGTCGTGCCCTGACTTCAATCAGCCTAGAGGTTGTGTCAGGGTTCATACGCTAAACTATCGCGCAATTCAGAATTTTTAAATTGCATCAAATTATAATCTTTTCCTCTCATCATTATTCAGACAACTGCAACAGAATTGATAGAGTTTTTTACCAACTTCGGAGCTGTTCTGGACGGAAAGATCATATATGATTATGAAAATGTTAGCCGAGGGTAAGTCAGTACTGCTAAAACTAAATATAAACAAACGAACTGCTGGAAAAGTTGTTTATTACATACCAAGCTAATTTTTGAATTCTTAGGTAACTGCGTGTTTATAAAAACACGGAGGCAAGGCATTGTTGGCATTTTATTGTGTTACAGTTAAGTGTAAGATGGGACATAGCGACAAAGATGTTAGGCAAAATGAACTACGTATACTACTGACCTAAGAATAAAAAATGCATGTTCTTTCTTTTCAGATATGGATTCATAACGTTTTATAGAGAAGAAGACGTAGAAAAAGTCTTGAAACTGGTACACTTGTTTATTGTTTTTATGTCACTTTAATAGGGAGCTTAATTAAATTACTTTCCTCTAAAAAATGCTATAAAATGTCATGTGCGCGCAATCCTAGTAAATAACCTTTGGTAGACATGGTAGACACACATGCGTGCATTCGTAAATTCCATTCGAGCGACTTGTTCAGTGATAAAAACTGTCTATTGCGCGCTGCCGACAAAACAAAAGAAAAGAATAAAATTGCGAGAAATTGTGTAACAATTAGGCTTCTAGTATGAAACTAAAACGGTGCGGAAAAGGTTAGGTACTGTTCACGGGTACGAAATTGACGTCGACATTCGTTGAACCAATAAATGTTCATCCAATCAAAATGTTTTTACCGTGAGTTTCTCCATTATCATAATACAAGTAAAGAGAAAACCTCAATCACTCTCCGTGACGCACTCCTCCCGTTTGTCTTCAAAGCCGTCTCTCCTCGGTCAGCAGCAAAGAAACCTTGTCAGTGGCGCATGCGCAGTTCATGAGAGGAACGACGTTTGCCAGCCTGATAAATTTTTGTATGATTCCACATGTGTTTGCAGGGAGTGATTTTTTTCAAAGAGAAAAGACTGAAAATAGCAGAAGCATTCCGAAGATTAAAAGTAAGTTTATGCAATGACACAGGTAAATCTAAATGTCAACTTTATTTAACCAGGGTGTGGTTTATTTCTACCCTTTTTCCACGCTTGTAGCGGTTTCAGCAGATTTGAGCGACTAATTTTAAAACATTTCTGGTATTTTTGTATTTCTCTCCTTATAAATAATTGGGACTTCTCTTCGGAAATAAAGTTAATTCCGAAAAAGGAATTCGGCAATTGTAAGATATCAAATTAAATGAAAATTCTTTTTATTTCGTCAACAGAAACGATATCCTCAAAGACCAGGTACTGATTATTACCGCTGTTTTCATTGCTACGTGCTGTTTGAGACAACATTCGCGACAGGGAAATCAGGCAATACACTGCCGGCAATCAATTAACTTGTTTGGTACCTTTACATACTCTTATTGACGGCAGTAGTGAATTTTGGGGTGCAACCACACTATGACACCTTGAGGTATAAATAACAATGAAACAGCCGCTATGTTGGTTGATCTAACAAGAGAAGCTAATGAGAAATTCTTTGGTATCGTCAACAACCAACATCGCGGCTCTGCAGACGTAACATGCACCTCAAGAATTCCTCCAATTCCCCAGCGAACGTGAGGTTATTCGATATTTAGCCAGCATCAACTTTTCCCTTCAATCTGGCCTCTTATTTCCCTCCCCCACCCTACCACCTACTTTACAGCCATTCTCAATCACACGTGCCGTTCTAGCGATTGTTTCTGTCGCGACGAAGAAGCTTTTGGTGGACGTCAATCAAGGCGTTTCATGACATTCTATAGGCACGTGCCCTTATAGCTTTGTGTTTTCCGACAATGTTATGGAAACGCCTTGTGATTGATGTCCACCAAAACCTTCGTCGCGACAGAAACAATCGCTAGAGGGCTCGTGTGATTGAGAATGGCTCTAACCAGGTCTTCAGCCACCAATATAACACTTTAACTAGGCATTTTAACATGTCATTTTTTCTCTACAGCATTTCCTTCACCTGTACAGATGACTTTTCCAGCCAAGCCGCAGGTAAGATTCTTGCACAAAGAAAAGTTATCGATCATTTTTTATATAACACAGACAATATAACACAAAACACTTTGTGGAAAAGCGGAGGTTTGGTCATCGGACAATAGACTAATTGGTCACGTGACTCCCTTAAGACGACCAGGTGCGTCAAAATGCAAGAAAAACAGTCACACACTTTATAAAAACTACCTTAAAATCTTTGTTTCTTTCTAACAAACAAATAATTATAAATGTGGGAAATCAATAAGTTCGTTTTGTTTTGTTCAGTTCGCTCGTTTTATTTGAGCCTTATCGCTGGTTTATTCATTTAAACATTCGTACTTCTTTCTATTTTTGAAGATCCACTTACTCGGGGTTCTGCGGTTTCGCTCCGCAAAAACTCAACATTTCTAAATTTCATTTCGATCTTAGGAGATGTTCTTGCGAAGGTTACCCTCTTCTATCTCCTTTCGCACTATAATGCAAATAAATTGATAATTTTATGGCCACTTGGAGATACGGAGTTTATCTTTTCCTCATGAGAATATCTCACTCGTTCGCTGCGTTCACTCGTAACTAGATACTGAACCTCACCACTCGAAGATAAAATCCGTATCTCCTAGCGCAGCAATGTAATATCCGCTATATACAAAAGCTAATATTTTATGGCCACCATAACCGTGTTGGTATCTTACGCTAATACCTATGATAAGTGTAAAATAGAATACATGATGCACAAAGCCTCACGAAAGCCTTTTACTTGCAGTATCTACAATCGGAGCAGGTGACGCAAACACCTATCAAATGTTACACCCAACCACAGGTATACCACGAGAATAGACCAACATATGGTGGACTGTGGCGTTGTGCTGTTGTTGAACAAAAACTCTTTCAATAAAAGTCAAGCATAGCACGGATCTTTGATAGGACAGCTCGTAAAAAATTCTTCAAGAGCCACTATAGAGAACATCGGTTATCTCGATGTTCAGGAAGAAGTTGGAACTTGAAAACGTTTGTATCCGGCTACGAAAAGACGAGGAATGTTATGAATAATTCTTCTGATTTTATTTGGCCACGAAAAGAGTAAGGCGACGGTGTTTAACTTCCCTTCGACGGCTCAGTTGGACCCTTTATCTGATATGTTATCGTTCCAGTGCTTCTTCGTGCAGTCTAGCGCCAAGTCGCACCACCACAAAAAGCGGATCGAACAATTTTTGTTATAAGTTTCAAAATATTTCAAAAGTTTAATCAGAGAACGTTACTTGTATTTTTGCTGGCTCTAGACGGAAAGCGGAGAACCAGGGCCCCGTTGTACAAAGAGTGAATAGCGCTATCAATTGGATAAGATTTATCAGTCGGATAGCGCTACTTAATCTTCGTACAACCGGGCCCAGGTTGCTTACACCAGCCAATGAACTAAAATAATCCGTTTTTTAAAGCGATCGTAAGGATAGCTACAAAGACCTTGGTTATATAGACCAGCGCACACCGCAATGGAGCCTATCACGTACTATCTTATAGTGCCCCAGCATGTTTTACGTTCTTAGTATATTTTACAACCTTTCAACTGTACAAGTGGGGGAGGGTAGGGTAGGTGAGGTTTCGTGACTTTATCGTAGTGTAAAACATGCCAGTAGGTCGTACCAAACGTGATCGATGCTTTATTCCGTAGCATTGCTCAGTTTGTCTTTTTTTAAAGTTATTCATGTCGTTAATAAAATATTACCCTGGAAACGGAGTGACATCACTGGACACTTTGTTGAGCAGACTGATATATATATACGTACCCTTTCGTTCAATAGACCTTTCCATTATTCGCCTGAGTCCACAGTCCAGATCAAGGTTGAGTGATTGATAGTTTCATACATTTACAACATTATTGAGTCCAACTTCGACCTGGCCAGAAACATTTGTTCACTCTGAAAGCCAAATTGGGAGGAACGTTCTATTCAAACCTGTACGGAACTCATTTGATAAATATATAGGCGACATCATTGTTTAAATGTGTAATAAATCAACCTATTTATGTACGTGAATTGGCTATATATATAGTGCATTAGTTTTGGTTTTTGACTACAGACCGACTCGAAAACAGACAATGCCACCGGTAATATACAGTTATTCAAGAGAGCATAAATAAGAGAGGAAAACTTCTTAATAACGCGCGCGCCATGTAAATTCCCGCTTGGGCTATTTTTAGTAACCGCATGCAGCTAAAATTTCGCCTTACTCTACTCCCGTGCGTCATCAAAATCGCGTAGCTTTTCTTGCAACATTTATGTGTTGCAAGTTGCAGAAAAAATGTTCCTCGTATTACCACTCTATACGCAACACATTTGCATTGGTGCGCGAATTGACAAAATTTCAAGATTTTACTTTGGTAAGTCTGAAGATCCGCTGCATCCCACTCCACTCACCGCACTACACTACACCGCGCTCTCTAAAAAACGTACCTGACCAACGCAAGACCTTCTAGACATCCTGGATCCGTCACTCATTGAGACATCTAGCAATTAACCAGGTAACTCACTCAAGTCATTAATCTTTCTATGATCATCAATGTCAGGATATACGCCCTTTATACAAACCAACACAAGGTAAGATGAAATATTATCTGCTCCTAATGACTCGGTGATAACACGCAAATAATATTTTATTAGCAATAACGACAACACAACCAACCTTGCTTTCAAAATACGTTCATTTCTCTAGTCATATCCTAAAAGGATAAAGTTCCCCATGAAAATCTGCCTGGGTCTATCTGTCCCAGCGTGGAAGGTCATTGGGGAACGCTAAAGAGGGAAGGGGTGGGGTTACTTGCTACGCGCCACCTCGGGAGATGAAATTTTGGAATAGTCCCCTTTCAGCACGTCGGAATGCAGATCAATTTGGAGGATAGCAATAGGCTTCCAATTCTCATGAGATTGAAATTCTTTTGTTTTGTCCATCGAATTGAGCTGCTTTGACGTCACTCGCAAGGAGTTTATTGAATATTTCTCAAAAATCTCCGAAACTTGGAGTCAAATTTCGGAAGTGAATGAATGTACTGTCCTTTTCAGGGTACGGTATGCTACACAATGTGTGTAGAAATATAACTACAGTCGCGCAGCTTCGAGCATTTCAAGAGGCCTTTGGGGGGGATGGGGGTAGTTACCAGTACCCACCAAATTCCATAAAATTGGATCCCTATTTGGAACCATTCTTTTAACCTTGACGACTTTCAAAAAAAATACAGTCCAGCGTCTAATTCTCGCTTTCGCTGGTATCAAAACTTCCGGACTGACTTCCAGAAAAGCTGTACACAACCTGTCACACCAAAATAGGAAAAAAATCACAAACGAGGAATTGCACGAATCGTAATTTGACTCTCCAATTGTAATAAAATGACTATCAGTTGAACTAAAGCACTTAGATGTGGGGGTAAAGAATACACAGAGGAGGAAAAGGTGAGTCTCGGAGAGTCTCAGAGGATGTTCGAATTACCGGAAATAAAATCTGATACCGGAAATGTTAAGGCTAGTACCAAGTCCCTCCTCCTACAATAGTGGGTTTGCAAGGGCTTGTGGATAATACTGCATAGGCAGTAGGATTTTGACAAGTACCAAAAAGTAGGGTTAAGAATTGGCTGTAAAAACATGATTTAACGTCTCCAAAACACACTGTAGGGCCACAAGAGTGTTTCTAACATGATGGCGTCTACTAGTAAAATGAAAAAGAAGAAGAAATTCCGAGCAGTGAGTCAGAAAGTGAAGATATTTCGGTCGAACGATCCACTTCTTGGGGTGTTGATGTGGGGAGTGAATCATACGGTACGTCAAGTTTTGCCTCGAAAAACACCGAACATTTCCCATTAATCTCAAGCTAATTACCGCACTTATTTCACCAGATTAATGAGCTTTCCACATTGAATGTCCCTGTAATGCTGATGCCAGATGATTTCAAAGCTTTCTCCAAAATCCGTGTAGATAATCATTTATATAACAAGTAAGTAGGTCAATCCATCCTCTGCAATATTGTCTCGTGTTTTGACTATTTTTTATTTAATGGAAGGATTGTCTGTACTTTAGCGTTTCAAAGATAAACACTGATTTAACTCAATCAAAGTTTTATTTTATTTTATTATGCGTTGTGTTGAGCGCAGGCATTCGAATTTTGGTCCGAGATGAAGGATTTGGGAAAATATGCTTACTAAACATGGCCTTCAGTGTTGACCTCTTTGTTCTGTTGATTCAAATAACGAAACTTGAGTACAGTACAAACTCCAGCTCCTATTCCCCATTCAAATTTGCGAAAGCGAAAAATATAAAGACATATCCCTAAAGCACTATAAACGCTAATAGTCTCAATTCAAAGTAATAGTGGGAAAAAATAAATCAATATTGAGCGTGTATAAATTTTACATTAGCGAAGAAAATGGATAAGTTCTATTTGAAGTTGGCTATTGTTTTGATATTTTTTCGTTATTTTCTTCTCGAGAGGTCGAAATATTGTTTAAATCCAAGGTAAAGATTTTTTCTTTCAAGGAACAAGTGTGTATGAAATAGTTAAATAATTGATATTCCTGGGACAATGGTGAAGAATGCAATCCCAGGACAAAAATAAATAGATTTTCTTATAATCTGAGTCCGGAGTACGTAGGATTTCCATGACTTGATTTAGGATCTTGAATTACTAAGCTTTACTTTATATTTATGTTGGTTTACCTCGAAGGTAAAATATGCTTTAGAAGACTTTTTGGGGGTTCCTTTTCTGTCAGCTTGCCAATTAAATATTATGAATGGAATTTATTGGCTTGTCGTCAAGGTTACTCTAAAAAATCGGATATTTTTTCAGTGTTTTTTCTTCAAAACATTTTCTAAAATGTTTTGATAAAGGTGTCCAGATTGTTTTTGAAGTCTGTAGGCTAATAAATAATCTCAATAGACTACAATAGGCTAATATCTTTACTGATCAAAATGTGTTATTGTAAGATGTTTTTACCCCCCTTTGAGCTTGGATTATGGGGCTCATAATTTGGTTCAAACCTGACCCACAGAGCTTTGTCATTGGTTAGTATTTTAGGAAAATGTCTTTCAAAAAGGAAACAAGGTCTTATGGTTTAATAATGTCTACTTTAAATAACCTAGTAAAAGAAAAAAAATTGGAAAATGTCAAAAATATCTCTAAGTTTTTATCAACCATACACTATAACCTCATAACTTTGCAATTTCTCTAATGACTGGCTGTTATTGATTCCTTGATTTCAGGAATTAGTGTCGAAGTTAAAGTCAATTTTTTAATTAGCTAAAAGTTATGTACATGTCTGCTTGATTTAATACTTGGATGAAAATTGTAATATTGTTTTGGTCTTGTTAATTCTTTTTTACCTTTCTGATTTCTCTATTATCAAGTATAATAGTGACCAAAAGAGAAGAGTTGAATGCAATTACAAACATGAATGGGTTGGTGTGCTTTATCTCATTCATTAGACTTCATGCAGTTTTCTTGTGGTTATCTTAATTATTTTTATCGTGATCTTGGGGTGCTTTTGTTTCAGTGTATTGAATGGGGACTAGAGGGATGGAGGCAAGTGACCTAGAGAAAAAAATATATGAAAGTTTTCCTCACCCTGTTAAAATGAACTTCTAAATTCTAATTGGAATTTAATGAATGAATAGCCACTCTGTGTAAATGTTCCTGTTAAGTCTCATTTATTTTTTAATTATGTGAAACTTTTTCCAATTCTTCTGAAACCAATGTCATGTAAGAGTTATTGTTATTGCTATACAACAGCTACATTAATTCAATGTGACCCTGGTTCGATTCCCAGACTCACCATTGTATGTTATTAGTATTTAGAGTTGCTTGTTGGTTCTCTCCTGTCCTCCAATAGTTTTTCTATTGCTTAAAATTTCTATTTTTCTGGATTCAGCAAAAATCAACTTCTAATTCCCAATTAGAATTTCAGTTATGAAGAGCTGCTCTGTAAAAATGCCACTGCTAAATCCCATTTATTTCTATGATATAATATTTTTAATGGTTATAATGGATAATTTTTATGATTTTGTAATATTCAAAGTAGCATTATTTATGTGAGATTTTGCATTTCAGCAAAATTCTGTTTCCCAGATCACTGCATCTCTCATATGTTATTCCTAATTCTGTTTTATAGATTATACCTTGATTGTTTTTTAGTCTTCAGTTTCTGATTTTTCTTGGTATTTCTAGTATGTTTTTAACATTTCACCACAGTCTTTATTAACGTGCCACAACAGTCTTATACATCCCAATATTTGTTTATATTTCTGTACATATTTTTTCCTTTATTCTTTGTATCTTTTGTTGCTTGTTTTTTACTTCAGCATAGATAATGATCTAAGTGCAAGTGTACAAGTTCATGGTCATAATAAGATACACTTTACTTACTTCAATGGAAATGCTACTAGATAATCAAAATTTTGTGATTGGTGAAAACCTTAAAGTTACACATTTCCTTCACATAATTAGTATACTTGTTTGTTCTTGTACGATTTTTATCAGAAAATTTTATGATAGCATTCATTTTCTCAAAAACGATCTTCATTTCCAGGGAAATTATTTTTTATTTTGAAAATTACTCCTTTTCCTTTGAGAATTCAATATATTGTGTAGAATATTATTATAGATAATTGTAAATGATTAAATTATATGGGTCGATGGGTTGGAAATCTGGTAAATAATAATCTGCTTACAATGTATTTTTCATGGACACTTTTTCAAGCCTGGATTGAATTCTTTTTTCTTTTTTTTCTTCTGAAATAAAAGATTAAAATTATAGTACAACTTTATAATAATAATAATATTTATTTGTATAGCGCTAAATCCACTAATTGCTCAAACTGCTCAAAACTTTGAGCAAGATAAGTAATTATTATAAAGCACATTATTTATTTACCTAAAAAATTATTTTAACTTTTCTTACTGTGACTCTTATTTTCTTACAAGGATTTCAAATCTTCGTTATTATTTTTTATTTCTTTATCCTATTTTGTTACGTTTTTATTTTTCTTGCATGGGTTTCAAATCTTTATTATTATTTTTTCATTTCTTTATTCTATTTTGCACATTTTGTACCAAATTTCTAATTCTACAAGTTCTTTAATTTGCGAATGTTTATTTTGAATATTGATCTAGATATTTTTGTTGTTTTGTGAGTCCATGTTGTTCTTGTTATTTTTGATTTTACAATATCAATGTTGACATAAATAAATTATATGAAACATTTCATGTATTTTCTCAGCACGTCCAGCATGAAGCTGTTTCATTTTCAAACTAGTAACACATGCAGTACCTGGGGGGGGGGGGGACTCCCATATATGGACTATACGGGGATGATCCGCTGAACAGGGTATGGTTTTTCGAGCTTCTTGTCATAAACAGGGTATGCAATTTCACTCGAGTTCCAAGTTCTTCCTGAGTTTCCTGTCATATTCTACTTTCGTATTGACCGAAACTGGTTATTATGGTTGTAAAAAAACGATAAGCGAGATGACATGATAATTGAAAGGGAACTCAGTGCAATTAATTATATCTTTTGTCATGAACAGGGTCTACAAATTTGTTTTTTTTTGTCATAAACAGGGTACCCCTTTCAGAATCCCAGCGGAACACCCCTACCCAAATTTTGACGGAGTACCCCCCCGGGATGCAGTATAGGTCAACATGACCACCAGGGCTTAAAATAATGGCTTAAAGTAATTGCTGCTCAGTTACTAGTCATGATGAGCTTGTTCATACCTCATTTCTGGCTCAAGATTACTGGTCAAACTGACCGACAAAGCAAATATTTGACTGGACAAATTTAATTATTTTAATGTAAATTACCTTTATTAAATTATTTTTATTTATCTGATGGTAATAAAGATTCTGATTCTGAGAAATTGAAGAAACCATGACAAATAATTATTACAGTTTTTCCTTCTACAACAAGAAAATATGTGCTTAAGTTCAATAATAATAATAATGTACTGAAAACTATATGAATTTAAGAATTAACATTAATGAAATTAAAATATATCAAATTCCTAAATTATTTAAAGCTAATCTATTCATAAAAATTGCTTTATACCCCTCTGTATTAATTTTATAGTGCTCTGTTTTCTAAGATTATATCTTGTATGATTGATTTTTGGAAGAATGCTATTTAAAGGATGGTCTAAATTGTCCTTGATTGAATGAAACAATTTTGTATCCATATCAGTAATTTTAATCGTAAATTAGGGCAATCTTGCCAGCTATTTCTATTGTATATTCCTCTTTAATCGATAACAAAAAAATAACTTCTTTCTGAGTTTTTTTAGGCAGTACTTAGGTGTCCTGTGGTTCTATTGTTTTCCTCGTTTTATTAATTTGAAATACTGTTCAACTGTTCAACAGAGAAAATTTACCAAGCCATTTCAAGTTCAAGGAGTATTGTCCAATGGTGTTCCGTCATTTAAGGGACCGCTTTGGAGTTGATGATAAGGAGCTGTCTGTAAGTAGAGAATTGAAAAGTTACCCAATAATTAAGCCAAAACATAGAGAAGCCCTTAGAAAGTGAAAAAGGCTGGCAGTGGCCACCCTGAGTGTGTACCTCAGTATGGCCACCCTCAATGTGTGCCACTTATATCATAAAATTTGCAGCTCAGTGCAAAGTACTATTGAGTTTAAACAAATTAATAGAAAGGGTTTTATAGAATAGAAATCATAATCGTGTCTGTTAAAAGGGAAACATTTATGAACTCTAACAATGTTTTAATATCTGGCCTGTATAAATGTTTTAGAATGCATTCCGAGTGTCACCAATAGCATGTGAAAGTCCAGGACGATCTGGAGCAAAAGTTTTTGTGTCCAGAAATAAGAAATTCTATGCTAAAACTATTGAAAGTGAAGAAGTGGAGAGGCTACATAACTTTCTACAGGAATACCACCATGTAAGTAAGAATTGCAGAATATCTTTTTTCATTGGCCAGCAAGGAATACTGTAGAAGCTATTTTCATGGTATCTATAAAAATCTCTTCATTGTTGCTTAATGGTTGAGTAAAGGCCGATATTTAACCTATTGACATCCATAACATCCATTAATGCTAAGATAGGGTATTTAAAGCTAAACTACATGGATTATAGAGTTATTGAAACTAGTGCGCAGCGCTAAAAACAATGGCTTGTCAATGGATAGTGTTTGGCTTAAAGCCTCTTACACTTGCAGGGCTTAAGATAACTTCTAGTTACTTTCCAGTCATGATGAATGGTCATGTACCTCGTTTTTGGCTCAACAGTACTGGTCAAAATGACTGTCAAGGCCAAGATGTGATTGGACAAGTTCCACTCCTGGCTGGACAATGTGCAATGACCATCATTTTTTAAAACCTGGGCTGTTCCTCATGACTAGTTACTGTACATAACGGCTAACTTGTCTTATGTGGCTGGTCATCGTGTCTGACCATTGAGCAGCCATTATTTTTTGTCACGAGTGTGTCAAATCTCTTGGAAACTTTCATGATCATAGCAACTTGCTGAGGCCACATCTCACAAGTACAGTTTGCCTAATCCACAAACATATAATTTTTTCAAATGTACAGTAGAACTGATTTCTTACATTTATATTTATTTCATAATATCATGTTTTTCAAATCTGTGAGAATTTGCTACTTTATCACCAATAAAGTTATTATTAAAAATATATTGGTTTTTAGTTTATCGTAGAAAAACATGCCAATACTCTACTACCACAGTACTTGGCACTGTACAGAATCACTGTTGATGGTAAAGAAACATATATGCTAGTGATGAGAAGCGTTTTTGCAACAAGACTGAAAATACACAAAAAATATGATTTAAAAGGGTCTACTGTGGATAGGCAAGCAAGTCATAAAGAGAAGGTAAATATTTGAAACAGTCTGCTGTTACAAAGGACTTCAAATCACAACATTTTAGAATGATTTTACTTTGCCTGTGAAACAAAATAGGTTTTATAATCAAAGTAAAACATTTTAAGAAAACAATGAATTATTAGTGTCTACTAAGTGCTGTGTGTTACACTTATTATTTTTCACAGGCTATGTAAAATCACTTTATATACATTTAAATATGTTTTTCTCTGACTTTATTCTAAAAACAAAACAAATGTTTTGGCTAACTCCTAAGCCTTTATCAGTGATATTGAATAAACTATAGCTGTGTGAGAAAGTTTAAAAAAAAGTATTGCTCGGGTTCATTTGTATACTGTAAGCAAGCTGTAGGCCCCTATAGAGCCATCCTATTGTTACCCACATTCTTGTCTAGGAAGGAATTCCAAAGATCACAAAAGTTCTAGCACCTGTGGTCCATGTCACAATGAAAGTACCGTGTAGTATATATGTGGGAGAGAATTATATATATTTTTTCAGAGTATTTCTTTTTCATCCTTGTACCTTCTTTTTCAGACAAAAGACTTTCCAACATTTAAAGATAATGACTTTGCAAAAGATAATGTTAAGATTGTTGTGGGTACAGAGGCAAAGGCAGCCTTATTAGAGAAAGTGAAAGATGATGTAGAGGTAGGTGATTATTGACCATAATAAATGGTCTCAACTACTTTCCTGCCAAAATTTTGATGAAGAATGAATCTGATGTAATGTAGGGCTAAGAATAATAGCTGCTCAATAGTTAAAAGGCTCAGCTATTAGCAACCCTTGGCTATCTTAGTTTAAGTTTAGATAATTAAATAACAACACATTACAAAAGAACTAAATAACAATAATGGACATGTTAGTACAATAACTCAAAAATTGAAATGGGATGTGACAGGAGCAAGGAATAGAACTTACATCCAAATTGCAACCTAACCCCCTGCTTATATAAATATTAAAATGCAATAAAAAGCTATAGAAAAAGAAAAATGCTACATTACATGTGTGTGATGAATTTACATTAGAGAAATGAAAGTGTGATTTGTCACACTCTAGACAGGGTAACGACAATGAAAGTGCAAAGACACACTGTACAGACAAACCAATTCATTTTAATGCATATAAGATTGAATGATTTTTTTATTTTCATTCAAGTTTTTAACAAGTTTAAATATAATGGACTACAGTCTGCTTCTGGGTATTCATGATTGTGATCTAGCTGATGCTGGTGACGATGAAGATGAAGTAGGTGAAGAAGGAAGGTGCGACAGTAATGAAGAGAGTGACCCTGACTCTCCCCAAGATGGAGATTTGTCCACCTCTCCTCCTGACACTCCACCTGCTATTGATCATGAACGTTTTCGCTCGCTGAGCATTGGGAGTGCTGAATTTGAAGAAAAAGAAGGACGTATCTTTTCATTGCAAAGTGCTGAAGGTAAATGTAATAAAGTAGCATTTTAATAAAGTAAATACTAGGTAAATGAAAATGCAAACATGCAGTAGACTGTTTGAACATTTTGTGAAAGCACTTTGAATGCATGTTAGGAAGAGTGTAATAATATTTATTATAGAAGTGAGATTATTGCATGAGTTGTTGAGAAGCTAGTGTTTCAGTCTTTAAAGAAAACGTTTTGCATCTAAGAGGTAAAAGTAATTATTACCATCCAAACCATCTGTTGATTGACTGTTAATTTGCTGTTGATTGGCAGTTGCCCGACAGTTAGTCGACGGGTCACCTGACGTACCATGTTGATAAGCAATTGACAAACGGTCAACAAAATCTAAATATTATAATAATATTATATTAAAGCTTTCATCGGTGACATTCAATAATATCTTCATTGTTTGGTCGTTACGAAAAAGCTGAATAAAACTGATAGCATAGCTTTTGGAATACCTTTTGGAGAAAGTGAAAAATCCTAAGATCACTTTGAATCATGTATAGTACTGCAAAACCTGTAGCATTTTATTTATGATCAGTAAAAACACTTGGTTTTATTGATAGGAGGAAGAAGAGAGATATACTTCATGGGTATTATCGATGTTCTTACATATTATGGTGCTGGAAAGAAAGCTGCTCATGCTGCAAAAACTGTCAAACATGGGGTACGTACCTATTTCTATGAACTATAAATACTGTATGTGTTTGGGAAATCATAATTATAGTATTTTTTCTCATCAGTATAAAATACTGCTATGATCTTTGCCTTCTTTGAGAAGACATCATCAACAAAAGTCAAGTTTAATTCTTAAAGGATGCAAAATGAAAAATATCAGTGTTTTGGAATTCAATACTTTTTTATTGGCATCTAGGTATTGTGGTAACAAAACCAAGACATTTAAATGTGTCTGTGGTCGCTAAAACAGCTTGTATTTATTGAATGCAAGAGAAGAATATTCTTACTTTATTAGAATTCAAAAGCATTTATGAAAAAGTAAGAAAAAAAGAGAAAAGGGACTCCATATTACTGTGGTGAAAAACATCTGGTAGCAGAAAAAAATATTGAACCAAATAAACCATTTTCAGTTTAAATTCCATGTGCAAATTATTAAACCATTTTTTTAAAAGGCAAGTATAAAAACATAATATCAATAACAGCTATAAAAGCTTGCACTAAAATGCTAACATCTGTGATGAAAATGTAAATTAATAGCAAGCCATTTAAAGGAAGTCACTTATTCAATTCACTGGATTAACTGTATTCATTAAAATTCCATTAAAATTGACACTAGTTCAAACACTTAACACTATTCCAATTGTTTTGTATGTTTGTATGCATAAGGTCTGTTTAATCCATGGTGTTAGTTTGGTCGGTATATCGTTAAGTTTTTAATGGTATCTTCTGGTGTTTATTTAGCAGACTGGCTAGATATCCATCATTTGGAATGACAAAATTATTCAAACTATGCAATATTCACCTGATTATCAATAGGCCAAAACAAATGAGAGTTTCTCAGGGGCAGTGGAGTATCCTAAAAAGTGGGGGGGCTAAGATTGGAAAATATAAGAAACTAGTAAGAAACTAGTATGGGAAAAGGGAAAAAGTGGGGGGGGGGGGGGGGGGGGGGCACTGCCTCCACCCCTGCCCCACCCCCTGCATGGCCGCTGTTACTCCGTGTTTGTGATTTTTATTCAGCAATCATATTGGA